ATAATTATATATATATATATATATATATATAATAAATATCTTTAAAATATTTTTTCTTATACATACATTGCTGGAAATGTAATTATAATTTTTTCAACTTGCAAATTCATCTTTAGAAATCAATTCTTCAATCAATATTTTACTTTCAAAATTTTTTCTTTTTTGTCTCAAAAAATTTTTTTTCAATACTTGTTTAAACATAGCAATAGAAAGAAATCATTGATAAATTTATTAAAGATGGCTATAAACATTATAGCAAATGTCATACTAAAATTCTTAAGAACATTTAACACAATGTCATAAGTGGTTATATATTTATCATGTAACAGGTACACAAGAGTAAATAATTATCAAATCAAAAAAAGTTTGCTGAAAGCAATTCAGAAATTAGCTTATAATGATGTATTTACAAATTGGAAAAAACGCTTTTAAAAGTATATTTAAGAAAAAAGTATATTTAAAAAGTATATTTAAAGAATATTTAAAAAGTATATTTAAAGAAACAGAACTATTTTGAACAAGATTCTAATACATTTTGAAATATAAAATATTTATGACAAAAAGCTTCAAATTTTTTTATTATATATTTTTATATATATATAACTATTATAACTAATATATATAACTTATGTATAACTAAATAATCACACAATTTTAGAAATTTAACATTTTGATTAAATTTAGAAATATTTAAAATAAATTAAAAACAATTTTTTATTTTCTAATTTTAAAGATACTATAATAATTTCTTCTTAACTAATTGTTAATTTTTTTTTATATCAAATCTATATTTACCATAAAAATTAAATCAATAAAAAAATCAATAAAAAGTAAGTAATCAAATAGCATTAAGAGATAAGTATCTAAAATTTAAATAATTTATGTTATTTATTGAAACAAACAAAATATATTTAAAAAATATAGATTTTAAAATCAACTTTTCTTTAAAACAAATTATAATTTTATTAAATATAAAAGATTAAATTTAAAAATATAATATAATAATATCATTTATGATAATAACATAAAATGAATATCCAAAAAAGAAAAATATATTAAGATACAAAATTTATTTTTTCATTCATAAAATATATTTTATTATTATTATTAATCTTTTTTTTATAAATTTTTTTTGATATTCTTTCTTTATAAATCAATATATATAAATTTTTTAATTGCATTGTATCACAATTTTTAATATATCATATATCAAATATATAATTTTTCATTTATTATTTGAATAAATAAATTAAATTAATAAATTATCCCTACAAAAAAATATAAAATTATATTTGACACTAAAAGTATTAATTTTAGAATTGTTTTAGAATTTATGATTAAATATTTTTTATTTTTTTCTAATAAATACTATATCAATAATTAATAATAACTAATAATGTGTATTATGTATATAATTATAATGTGTATATAATTATAAAATGCGTAATTCATGAAAACTATTTATATTTTTAATATATTTTTTAACTTATTAAAATGATTATATACTGTTATTATATGATATGTTTTATAATTCATGAAACTTTCAAATTTTTTTTTTTATTTCAAAATTGAATGTTGATTATATATTCAAAAATAATGACAAAAAGTTTATATAAATGTATATTCTATATTCTATTTTGTTTGTTTAAAAAAATTGTTCGTTTAAAATTATAAAAAATTTTGTAAATAAAGCAGAATTTTCTGCAATTTTTAATGTCTTTCAAATGAATGAATTAAACATAAAGATTTTTTATTATATAATTATCTTCTTCTAATTTATTTAAATTCATTGAATTTTTACTTATAAATTTATCTATACAATGTATAGATATAAATCTGTATATACAATGCAATATATAAATATTTAAATACTATAGAAAATGTTAAAATACTATAAAACATAAAAAGCATGTCAACAGAATTTAATCAAAGAATAACCAGATTCATGATAAATTTATAAGCTTGTTAGAAAAAGCAAAATATTCAGTTTTGAATATTTTTGTATTGTGTATATAAGAAAGATAAATACTGCAATAGTCTTTTTACATATAGAAAAAATATTTGATTGTATAAATATTGTATATATATTGTATATATATTGTATATGTAAAAATATTGAAGTTTGGCATAGAAGATTACTAAAAAAATCTTACAACTAATTCTTACAGCTTCAATATCTGCATAGTTATCTCTTCATATCTTTCTATGTCAAGATCAATAATACAACTTCGTTGTTTACAAAAATTCATGCTAGAATATCACAAGGAAGTGTCCTTGAACCTATACTCTACTTTTTACTGTTGATATACTAATTAAATCAGATATCAAAATGTATACTTTTGCAGATGATACATCATACTTCATACATAAAAATATTAAAAGTGCAACAAGAAAATTACAAAATCATTTAAAAAAGATTGAAAACTGGTCATAAAACAATAAAATCAAAATAAATTCAACTAAATGCTCACATATCATCTTTATGCTCAATAAGAAATCAACTTCCAAAATCAGCTTTCAAAATTCAGAATTCACCAAATAGAATCTGTTAAATATCTTGATCTTCATTTAGATAGTAAATTAAACTGAAAGAAACACAAGAAAAAATCAAGCAAATAAAAATGTAGAAAAAGTATGTACTGGCTTACATACTGGATGTGAAAAGATCCAAATTAGACATAAATAACAAATTTCTGATCTATAAAACTATAATAAAACCAATATAGATATATGGACTGCAAATCTGGGATATAAATCAAACATCAGAAAAATCTTCAATTTATCATTTCAAGAACTATCTTAAATACATCATAATTTGTGAGAAATACAATATCAGGTTAATTTCAAAATTCTGTACAGTAGCAGAGAAAATCAGACAATACTTGAAAGTATATTAATAAAGAATATAAAACATCAAACATATAAATCCACTAGCTACAAACTGCTATTCGGATTTTTCTAGAAAGCTCAAGAGAAAACATCTGATTTTATCAATTAAATTTGAAAATGATATATAACAATTAATTTTTCAATTAATTATTTAATAACTTTTGAATTATCAATAAATATATTTAAATCCCCAACTTGATTTTTATTTTTGATCATTTTGATTACTTATTTTTTCTTTTCATTTTTTATTTTTTCATTTCTTATTTTTATTTTTTCAATTATTGATATAACAAATATATTTATTTTGTACAAAATAAAAATATTTATAAAGAGAATAAAAAAAGAAATTTGAATATTTTTTATAAAGATAATTCAATAATACAAAATTTGTTATACATCATAAATAAGATTGAATAAGGCAAATCTTTTTATTACTTATATGAACTCTTTTCATTATTTGTGATATAATCAATTTTTAAATTAAGTATCATAAATTACAAACCATCTTGTATAACAATAGTAACAAGCTTATAAATATAATTAAGTTTAACTTACTAATATAACTTTCTAATCCTGGAATAAGATCTTCAAGACAATGTAGTGCACTTTCATGATAAGCTCTTTGAAGTTTTATATATTGTATAATAGTGTGTGCTAATTCAGTTTCCCGTGACATAAGTTGAAACATTTCTGCTGCTAATTGATCTCTACACTGTTCAACTTTAGCTTCAGCTTCTTCTAATTCTTCTCTTAAATTATCTACTTTTGTTGCACCTGAACCTTTTATATAATATTAATTTAAAAACTTAAATATAAATATTACAATATAATTTACAAAACAAATTAAAATTTTTTCTTACTAGCACTATGTTTACTAGCTTGTTGATATCTTGTTCTCACACTATCCATATCCAAGATTAATCGAGCTAAATTTCTTTTATGCTTTAATATATTTGGTACATCTGTATCTAAAATGTGTTGAAGAGGAATTGCAACATATTGTTCAACTTTTGTTTCATGTTCAATTGCTTCATTTGCTAAATGCATTTGTGCACGGCCACATTCTGATAAAGTAAAACCCATAAGACCATCTTCAGGAGCATTTTCTAACATTGTTTGTCCCAATATATATTCTGGACACTTTTTCTGAAAAATGAATATTTTAAAAAAATAAAAAAATATAAAGATATAAAGAATAAGATATAATAAAGAAAAGATATAAAAATATAAAGAATATAAATTTTGTATAATTATTTTTTTGAAATTTTATATATATATTAGCATTAAATATATTAAATTTTATAATTAATATTTTTATAATTATAATATATATTATAAATTTAATTTATAATTAATATTATAAATTTTATAATTTATAAAGAATAATTAAAAGAAAATTATTGTAATCATATTTAATATAAAAATTTTATTAATTTTACCAATCGTTTCTCCTTAAGAGCAGGATCTTGTGTCATAGTTTGATTTGGTGGATTACCAAGTCTCTTATTTAATCCAATGAGGGCCAATCGGATTTGATCTACATGTTTGTCTGCAGCTTGTAAATCATCTGTGAGCACTTCTGTTTTGCCAGCTCTATAGAAATAACATTATATTTAATTATTTTATATATTAATATAAAATAAAATTTAAATTAAGATACATTAAAATACATTTTTTAAAATCAATCCATTTTAAAATCGTCTGATTTATAAGCTATTCATAGATGCCTCTATTATCTTAAAGTATCTTAATATTATTAAGATTACTTATTGTTCAAACTTTTATTATTAAAATTATAAGAAATGATAAAAATGTTTATTTTTTATTATGAAATACAAAAACATTATACTAATTTTATACTTTGTTTAAAAAAGCATTTGATATGAGTGAAATATCATGATATAAGAAAATTAATATATATAAATAATTAATAATAATGATTAATAAAATATATTATAATTTTTTCAGAAATTTAAATGAAATTGTAAAATAATTACCTAGAAAATGTTTGATCAGCGAGCTGTTTAACTCTGAAAAATTGTTTCTTCATGATTGATAAGCACCAAATGCTTATTATGTAAATAAAATTATATTTTAATCTTCTAAATAATCACTTGTCAGTTGTTAATCACAATAATGTTCACAAATATACATAATTAATATAATCATACGATATTAAAGAAATGCAGATAATAAAAAATGAAAAGAATCCATCACATTATTACAAAGACAGTAATTCGTCATAATGTTTGTACAATGATCTCACATCCTCTATGATTCTGATCAGTATATTCTTTTATAATATGGATAAATTTTCACTTCTAAAAAATGTTTTCAGATTAATTACTTGAATCTTGAATTTGTAAACGTGTCAAAATCTCACAAATTTTAATCGCGGCATTTTATATTCTTGTTCATTATTGGTTATTCAATGCACGCAAGAATCAAACAATGACTTTATTATATTCATTCATTAAAATGAATTCATTCATTTATTAATTTTGCTTTTTCTTTTAATTAGATTTTTAGATTTTTATCAAGAAATTTGATAACGGGACAACTAACGAGTTTTTACTTTTAATAGTCAGCCATTCTTGTTTCTTAGTAGATTTTATTTAGAATGAAAAATCATTTCAAAAGCGGGAAATTTAAAATAATTATATTTTGAATCATTTATGAAATCTTTATGAAAATGTATTATTATGAAATCTATAATTGTCACAATATATCAAATTTTTGAATTTTATTTCTCTATTACATATCATTACATATTATTCTAATAACAATTAAAAAATAAATATTAATATAATTAGATGAAAATTTTAATATATTTGTTATTTTTATTATTATTATCAAATATGTAAGTGATACATTGAATATATTTTTTTCAGAAAACATGTAAATATAAATATTAAATTTTATAATTATGATTAATATCTAATTTCTTGTTAATTAAATGTGATTGTTAATTCATGAATTACATGTTAACAATAATACTTATTTCTTCATTCTATTTGAACCAATTATTAGTAATTGATAAGATTAATATAGCAATATTATAAAAATAAATATTAGTGCTCTTATTTAATTTGAAATTAAAGATAAAAAATATTAAAAAATATAAAAATATATACATCAAGAAAAAATATTATTATACATTATTATATGTACAGATTATATTCAATCATTAAGATATAAAATTCGTGTCCAATTATTGCATTATATAAACAATTTCATTTTTCAATAAATTTTTAAAATTTTAAATTAAAAAATAAATTTTAAATTTTAAATATTTAAAATTTTACTCTAATATTAATTTCTCTTTTTTGTCTTCTTTTTTTTTTAAAAATATTTATATTGATAAATTTCATGACTTACTATTGTGTAATCTGAAATGTGGAAATGAATCTGACAAGTTCTGAATTTGACAAATCACAAAAAACATGAGTTTTATTTTAATATTGTAGTAAGTAGGAAGATGAAATAAAATTTTTTTTAGAAAATTGATTAAAATATATACATTCTTCTATTAATATGTGAAATGTAATAATTTAATAATTTTTCTATTGTTATGTGAAAATTTGTAAAAATATATAAGTATTATTATAATATATGAATACCAAAAATGATAAAATATAAATATAAACTTTGATTAAATTTAAGACAGTTTAATTTATATTTCAAATATTTATATCGATTTAAACAAATATTAGTATTATAAATTTAAATTACTTTTGTGAGCAAAATTTTTAAAAATAAATAATTAAATAAACATGAAAATAAAAATTAAAAAAAAAGATTTAAAAAAATGGCTAAAAAAAAAGATTTAAAAAAATGGCTAAAAAAAAAGATTTAAAAAAATGGCGATAAATTATAAAAAATTAATGAATGAATTATATTAAATTATATTAAAAAATAGTATTATCATTATAATTAATTAATTAATTAAATTAATTTATAAAATTTTAATTAAAAAATCAGATTTTAATATAGTAATTGTTACCATGTATGTATTTTAAAAAATAATAATTTAAATTAAATACTATTATAATCTATATAAAATGTTATTTTGTATTTTGTAATTTTGAAAAATTGAAAAAATAAATTATTATTTACCAAAACTTTATATATATAATATATTATTATATATATAAGAATGAAAAAATTTTTATTATTTTTTCAATAAAAACAGAAAGTTAACTATTTCTATGATGTTTATTTCTTATATTTATATAAAAAATATATTTATATTTTTAAATAAATATATGAAGTTTTACAAATATGTAAATATAATATAAAAAATTTAAATAAAAAATACGAATTTAAAATCTTTAATACGAATCTCTATTAATACATTGTCAATTGATAAGATAAAATTATATTTTATTTAAATTGATGTTTTTCAACTAATAGAGTAAGATTATGTTTAAGACTTTTTACATGAGTTTGGTTTCAAATACATCTATTAAAATAAAATTTTTGATAAAATTAAAGATTAATATACATTTTGTGTTTAGTTTTATTAATTTTATTATTATCTTTTTGGAAAATATTCAAAAGGAATAATTAATAAAAAAAATGATTTTAAAAGCTTATATGGGCTCGGCCCATAAAAAACAAAACAAATCTGTAATTTTACATACTTTATAAAATTCTTTCACATATAAGTAGATAAATATTTTACTCATTACTTTCTTTTTACTTTTACTTCATTATTTTTATTACTATATTTCAAAATAATAAAATATTAATATTATAATATATTAATATAATAATATTATATTATATATAATAATATATTAATATAATAATATAATATATTAAATAATAATATTAATATAATAAAATAAAATATTAATTTTCCAATAATATAATATGCATTTTTTTTTTCATTTAAAGATAAAATTGTTTGCTTTTCAATATTTTTTTTTTTTATTTTTAGAATAAATAAAAAATTTTCACATTATTTCTAATTTTAAATATTCATTATCCAATTGTATTTAAATTTTTATAATATCATAAGATTCAATAAATTTTATAAATAGTTAATATTCTTTGATAATACGAAATTTTGCTGATTATATATATTTTAAAATGTAATACCAACTGACAATATTTAAGTGTAACAAGATTACCAATTATTACACAGAAAAAGAAGATAAATCAAATTAACATAATATAGAAAATGCTGTTATTCATAATATTGCATTAAGGTTTATAATAATTTTATATATATATAATTGTATTGAATAATTTCCTTATATTTATCATAATATATTTTAAAAATAAATGTTTTTTTATTTTTAATGAAATCGCAAAAAATATTGAATATCTTAAGTAACTTCTAATAATTTGATTGATCGAAGCACAGTCTGTAATAAATACAATAAGTTTTTTTTAAATAAAAATCGATGAGAATAAATTCGGAAAATTCAGACCTTAGATCATTATTTATAGATATAGTTTTAGATAATTGCCTTAATGCAAAATGAAATCATTTATGTATGTGATGTCACATATAGGCAATAATTATGAAAGTTTTTATTTTCAAAACAATATAAAAATTGTAAGAATAATTTGTAAATATTGTAAATATTTATAAAATTTAATATAATTTAGTCATTATAATTAAGTCTGAATATATATATTTTATTTTATTTATTTATTTTTATTTATTTATTATAATTTTTTAATTTATTGTAATTATTAATATAAAAAATAGTAAAAACAATATACAAATGTCTAGAGAAAAATTATTTATTTATAATTTATTAAAATTTTAAATTAATTTATAATTATTAATTACAAAATAAAAGTTTTGATAAGTTTATTTCTGATATTTATTCAAGATTTGAAAATGAAATAGGATATCATAAAATACATTTTTAACATAAATACATATTTAATTATATATTCTATTGGTGAATAAAAACTTAAATACAAGATTTTTCAATTCAATTCAACAGAATAGTTTTTTACAGGATATAAATTTTTAACGTTTTCTGCATTTCTTGCAATATAATATATTTGCATTATTACTAATAATTAATTGAATATTATTTACAGATATGTAATTTCACTTATTATATATATAATGTGTGTGTGTGTGTGTGTGTGTGTGTGTATGTATCTGAAATAATATTTTGAATTATCTTTTGTTCATAAATTATATCAAATTTTTTGTATTATCTTTATTTCAATTTGACTTGTAGATTCTTATATACAAGTCGTGTCTATAAATATACATAATCTAAGATCCAAAACAATATCTCGATATAACCAATTAAATTACTAGAAATTGTTAATTTCGAATTCTTACGATTTTTTATGATTTCATAAAATTTTTGTTTCTAATACATATAATATATGTTATTAATATGTATATATTATTGTATTATTAATAATGTATTATTAATTATAAATATATATATATAATGTATTATGTATATAATAATACAATAAAATAATTATAGTTTAGTATAATAACGAAAATATATTTATGTATTTTAATTTTTTTTGTATGTATATTACACAATTAGAGATTATTTTAATAGAAAATATAAATTATAAAGTATAATTAATTATAAATAATACTAATTAAATTAAATTAAAATAAAATTAAAAAAAATAAATAAAAATAGATTCATATAATATCTCTTATACATATATTTTACTTTGTTAAGATTTTATAAATTATTAATGATACCGCGTTTAGTCTTCTTGAAAAAAATTTTTATACTATTTTTAAATCAAACAATTATTTTTTTTAATGGTTTTAAATTTGTAAAAAATGAAAAAAAAAATAGTTAATTATTTGACAAAAAATATATACTATAAAATGCTTCTATTGCTAATATTTTATATTTTACTAAATAGTTTAATTATTTTTGTATATCAAATGTTTTTTGTATATCCAAATCTTGTAAAAATAGAGTTTCTTTTTTCAATTTATTTAATTCATTTTTATTAGTATATATTTGATCATTTATTTTTAAAATTATAATTTTGTTTATGAAATGATTCAAATTTTCTTTATACTAAAATATTTACTTAAATCAACGTAAATATTTTATTTTAAATAGTATAGCACTAGCAATTTTTTTATTATTTTTATGTTTATAATATTTATAAATATTATTTTTATTTATAATAATAATATTTATGCATTATTGAAACATAATTAATCAAAAAGATTATATATTTAGACTAATTTTTTAAAAAAATATTTTACATTCTGTATTTCAATTTATCGCAATGCTAAAGTGTAGTTTTAGAAATGCAATGTTGCCAAATTTAACATTATAGTTCGTATTTAATGATTGTGGTTAGATTAGTATAAACTATAGGGATTATCGATATATCGATATTTATCCTATCATAACATATCTGTTTACCATACTTACAATGACTTCAAATCATGGCAACTATGGACAAAGAAAATTATATATTATTGGCAATCATTTGTTGACGTGATTTTGTTTCTTATCTACATTGTAACGTAACCATATGTTTATTATTGATATTCGATTTCGAATAACGAAATAAATAAATAAATAAATAAACGTACACGCAAAGTATTTTTTTTTCTTTGATATATTTGAATCAACGTGTTCATTATGATAATCGATAGAAGTTTTTTAAATGTGATAATATTGAGTTGTGGCTTTATGCTGGTATTTACAGCATTTCAAACAATGGGAAATATTGAGGTAAGTATGATAGCATTTATAATTTTCTTATTTTGATTGAAAATCTTTTATTTATTTTGTATTTTATTTTGTTTTTTTAAATATTATATAATTAAATTTGTTACATATAATAACTGTGAAAATAAATAGTATATATGTATAATTTATATATGTATAATTATTAATTTTATATTAATTAAAATAAATTTAAAAAGATTTATAATTATTTTTTATTTAAAAGATTTAAAAATTTTTATCAATGTCAAATTTTTATCAATTATTAAATAATCATTGATTGAAATATAAAGATTCATAAATTAAATATTAGATTTGAAAAAATATTAGTTATATATTTGCTATATGTTATGATATAATAATATAAAATAATTATAACTATAATATAATATAACTATAATATAAAGCAGTTATTATAGTATTTTTACTATATTTTTATTATAGTATTTTATTATAGTAGTTATTATAGTTATTATAGTATATTATAGTAATATTAAATTAAAATTAATTTAAGTAATTTTTTCACATTGTATTTTATGATTAAATTATATTTTTATTTTTATTTTATTATATATTATTATTTTATTATAAGTATAGTTTAAATTAAAAATATATTATATTTAAATTGCAAATTATTAAATATTATAAAAGTGAAAATCAATAATTAATATTTCTTATAATAATACTTTTTATTAATTGTTGTTATTAATTATTGTTATTATTATATTTGATTTAATGTACATTTATATAATTAATAATGAATATATTATATTAAATAATGAATATATAAAAATATACATTATTTTAAAACAAGTATACATTATTTTTCTTGTTATATTTAAGATTAAATTTAATAATTAGAAAATATAAATTATTAATAATTGAAAAAATTACTGAATAAAAAAATAATATTTATGTTCAATTATATAATAACTAATAATTATTCATTAATTAAATAGAGGATGATATTCATATCATCTAAATATATAATTTAAATCATATAATAAATTAATGTATTAATTTTTTAAATTTTTATATGATATATATATACATATATATGATAAATATGTCATGTAAATAAATATGTTATGAAAAAAATAAAAACTTTGAAAATGTAAGAATTTGTAAAGATTTTATATTATTTTATGTGCTATGAAATATAGGATAATTTAAATATAATAATTCTTAAATTTTAAATATAAGATTATTTAACTATAATAATTGCATTAAATTTTTTCAAATTTCAACTATTATGATTGTAATATTTTTCATTCTGTATATTTGAGTATTATTAAATATATTATATTGTATATATCTATATCTATTATATATTTATTCATTTAATATTAATTTTAAGCTATAAGAATTTTATTAAAATATTTTATTAAAATAATTATAAGAAAATCTGAATGAAAATCTGAATAAGTAATACCTATTATTATATATATATAAGTAATACCTAAAGTTTAGTATTTTAAACATTTTATGATATTTTAATTAAGTGTGCATATTTGTATATAACGAAAATTGAAAGTGTGAAAAATATTTAATTCAGTTTATGTTAATGAGATTTAATGATTTTACAATGAGATTAAATGATTTATTTAATAAATATATAAGATATTTTCAAATGAATAAAATTTTACAAGTTAATTTTACAAATTTTACAAGTTAATTCATTGTAATTCATTGTGATTTTAAATAGAAAATATTCCATAAATATTCTAAAAATTTATTAAGAAGTATCTTTAATATTTCAATGTTAATAAAAATTGTTTATTTTCATCAATTTTTATATGTATTGAAAATTTAGGTAAATTATTATCTTTAAAAGTATTGTTATATAATTTGAGATATTTATATAATTTTTTTTTAATTCAAAAGGCTATTTGCTATTATTTATTTCTTTGCTATTTATTATTTTTCTAATGTATTTTTATTTTAAAATAATATATTTTTATTTTTTATTAATATTTTTACTTAATTTCACAAATCTATGGAAATATATTCAAAATGATTATTTGAAATTTGTTTCTATAATAAATACTTATTTTTTGATTTATTAAAAAAATTAATGTAGAATTAAATATTAATATAATCAATAAGAAAAATCATTATTTATTATTTAAACTATTTTGAAAAAAATAAAAAAAACATACATGTCTTTAACATACAGTTTTTTATAATTAATATATTTCATTTATTAAAATTTATTTCAGTTACCATGTAAAAAATAGTGAGAATTAATAACTTTTATTTTATTTAATAATATTTACTATATAATTGAATTTCTAAAATATGATATTTTTAATAACATAAAAATGCACATCGAATTATTTTATAAATTCTTGTTTATTATATAATATCAAATAATAATTTAATTTAACTTTATTTTTTATTTATTGATATATTAATAATTATTTTTAATAAAAACTATATCAAATTAAATTTCATATATAAGAGTAATAAATTTAAAAAAAATTAAAAATTAAAATTTTTCAAAATTGAGAAATTGTATACTTTTATGTGTGTGTATATATATATGCAATTATTAGAATTTTTATAATTTTAAAAAATGAGAATTAAAAAATAATTTTTAAAAATATAAAAAGAATGAATAATTATTTGAATTATTAATCGAATGAAGTATCCAAATAAATAGAATAACATATAATAAATAATTATTTAAGAAATTAATACTATTTTATTTGGCTCCGAAAATAAAATATTTGAAAAAAAAATGAAAAATTTTTGAAAATAAAATTATTTAACACATTTTTATTAAATAAATATAATTATAAGTTTTTTTAATAGAAAAATTATATGTAAGAATAATGTAAATAAAAATCACTAAAATCGTATGACTGTGATAAGTTAGAGAATATTTGATCTTTTTCTTCATAATTCTGTTCTTTTTTCTTCGAATGTTCAAATATTTTTAAAAGTATTCATTGCTTTAGTAGAAATAAAAAGAAAATAATTGAAACGATTATAATAGAATGCAAGTTAGTTATTTATTATCATAACAAGGAAAAAAATTAAAATTTCTAAAATTCTTAATAAAAATACACAATTATACATTACATAAAAAGATACAAAGAATCGTGTATTCAAATAAATTGAAAACGAAATAATAATCAGTTAAATACACAAGATAAGCAATGAATTATTAAAATTATTATAAATAATTATATATTATGCATATTACATTAATGCATCAAAATTGATATTTAAAATTGAAAAATAAAATTTATGTAATAATAAATAATTTTATTATCTAAATATTTAATAATAAATATAAATAGATGTGCTGTTTGAATCAAATTTAATATATAATATCAATTGATAAAATAAAAAAAAGTATATAGAATTTGCAAAGAAATTTAAAAAGATTTTTAGAAATTATGTTTAACAAGTTAAAATTTAATATATGTGCATTTGATAGAAAAATAATTGTCTGAAGAAAATTCAATGAGAAAATGAACATTAAAAATTTAATAAATAATGAACTTTGTCGAAAATCCCAAATGGAAGCTGCATATCTTTTTTAGTGCTAGAAATTTAATATTCATTTAGCAAATAAATATACAAATGATGATATTTAAATATATAGAAGCAAAATGTTAAATAAATTGTAAAAAAAAATAGAAATTTTAAATAATTTTAAATTTTATCCAAACAATGATTCTAAAGTATACCTTTTGCATAGCTAAGAGTTGCTTATTTTATAATTGTTTAAAAAAAATTCAAACATTATTGCAATATCAAATTCAAATCAAATATATATATATAATGTAATAAGCAAAAAAATATAATAAAAAATAAGTCTTTGATTATTGTTAAATAAATAAATAAAATCTTATATATTATGTTGTATCATATATATTATAATTATATGATAAGAATATACAAAACATGTATCAGAGAAAAAAATTAGCATTTTCTCTAAATTCATTCATTTTCAATAAATTAAAATTGCTTTACAATAAGAATAAAACGATTTGTTACAATTTTATGAAAATATGAAATCAATTTCATAATGATTATAAGGAGTTGAAAAATTAGTTTCCTAACAAAATATTAAAATGCAATTTAGATTATTTTATTAACGGTTTTATTAATTAACTTTTTATTTGTAATCTGTATTTAATTATGTTATTCTCAAATGTGTTCAATTTTTCTGTTGCATATAATGAAGATGTTAATTCACTTATTTCATTTTTTTAAATTTTAAATATTAATTAAATTTTTAATTAAAGATAATTAAAAATAATGAATTATTATCTTAACTAAAATAATTTATACTTCTCTTTCTTAATAGAGAAATTATTAGATTTTATTTTATAAAAGTGTATATTTATAACATGTAGATTTCTCTTGTAAATATTTATGAGATTAGACATATTATATATATATATATATATATATATATATATATACATATTATTTATAGTTTTAATTTATAACAAATTATATTTATAACAATTTATAATAAAATTATATATATATATATAAATTGAAAATAATAAATAAGAATAAATTAGATAAAAATATATAACTCGAATTTTAGTAAAATAAAAGATTAATTTAAATAAATATAAATTAAATGATTAATTTTTTTCCAGTATTAAAAATATTTCATAATAAAGATGAAACAATATTTCAAAAATTATTTGTTATATTAAATTGTATTTTTTATTCTAGTAAATACTTTGTATTTTAAATTCTAGTAAATATTAATAGTAATAAATATTTTTTTTTATTCTTTAAATTATTATAGCAAATTATATAGAGATAGAGATGATATTACTGATTTTAATATCTTCGAAATTCAAAATCATCATTATGAACAATTTTTTTAATTATATTTTAATTATATTTTATAATTAGATTTTGAAATATTCTTAAAATATTTTTGTTTAATTTAAATTAAAAATATAATTCATTTTAGTCTAGATGGTCGTCTAATAGTGATTGCATTCCTAATCTTATATAATCCTACATAA